GAATTACCTTGCGTTTTTGCTTTAGGGCTTTGGGCAGTTTAAAAAGATGTCTCTATGAGCTTTAGTTCTCTGTTTTCTGAAGAAGAGTGATGAGGCTGGAGAGAGAGGACCGGGATCAAGGCACTTGTCTTGAATGTGGCCCACCGAGGTTCAGTCCCCTGAGCTCTTTGAGGAACGATCCCGGAGCACAGCTGGGTGTGACCCCAAAGCAAAAATAAAAAAGTTCTAGCTCTTCTGCTTAAATCTCAGCTGTGATGTTCCATGTGTTGCATGAGTGGGAGGTTGGCTTCTGATGTCATGTTGGCAGGAGGGAAAACTGTGGTTGTGGAGGGCCACGGGAGTTGCCATACTGTGCATTTTAGCACTGTCTGCATTCCTGTTTCATTATCTTTGGACCCACTTTACCACCCCACCCCTCTCTTCTTGCTAGGGGAAACTGGCCCTAAATACCCAGAATTCCAGTCCCCCACCCCCTCCCCTCTGTAGCCACCAGAGCAAGATTGTTTTTGTCTCTGGCATCAGAACTCTGATTCATGCCTGAAGTATGTGTGGCTAGAAGAAATTCGAGGTGGCTGTGAAGCTCTAGTTACTTCTGTCCGGAACCATCTGATGTGACTCTGGAGCAGTGTGCGGCTTGGTGAGTCCACGTTCTGACCATCAGAATGGCTAAATCGGTGTAGGAGAAACACATTTGTGTATCAGCACAGTGGGTCCTGGAAATAGGCCCGAAACCCAAATTTGTTATGCTTCCTGGGTTAGCATTAACGATTTCATGAAAGAGTATCCTGCACACATAAAAGATCAAAGGGAGTTTTGTTCTCTAAGATGTGAAAAAAGTATAAACTCCGAAAAAGGAGAGGGATGTTTCAGAGGGCATGTGTTGAGGTGTGGTGGGGGAGGAAAGCGTGGGGCTATTGGTACCTTTCAAGCTATACGGGTCAAGGATTTGATAAAGTGAGGCTAGTGCTGGGATGGAGCAGACTTCTTGCGGGCTGCTTCGGCGGTTAGACCAGTGGGTTCAGCCTTTGAAAGTTCTTTTATCGGAGGCCTTCTAAGGAGCTGTTTTGGGGGGCGGGAAGGGAGGGGTTCACTTCCAGTTATTGTCGCCCCACTGAGCAGGCCTGGTAACTCAGGGCTCCAGGCGCTGAGTATGTGGTGATGCTGCTTGGTGGTAGCAGGGTCACTCCTGGTGGTGCTTGGCGTCATCTGGTGCTGGGAAGCAACTCAGGGCCTATCGGGTGTCTGCCAGTCTAGTGGCAGTGTTTCAGTCAGTCCTCACCCATTAGTAAGATAGAAGACTGGAATAGTGGGAGAAAGAAAACTGTTCTTGTACATAGCTACTTAATGAAATAGAAGGAAAATTCAAAAGAATCCACGGGTACATTTTTTGGGTTTGGTGTTGGGCCACACCTGGCACTCTAACTGCTCAGGACTTCTAACTGCTCAGGGATTGATCACTCTTGGTGGGGCTGAGGGGACCACATGGGATGCTGGGGATCAAACGTAGTTTGGCTGCATAAAAGGCAAATGCTTGCCCTGTTGTATCATTGCTCTGACCCCTTACAGGTACATTCTTGAGCATTTGAAATATGACTCGTGAGAATGACGTATTTTTAAAATTTTCCTTAATTTTAAATGGAAATTTGCATTATAGATTTAAGTATAATACATTTTATTAAAAATTTGATTAAGTCACCATGAATTACAACATGATTTATAATTGGGTTTAGAATAAATTTTAATGTAAATCAAACTTGAAATTTCCATGCATGACTGGGGGCTATTATATTCTGTAAGTACAAGTCTAAGAAACTGCCATAGACAGTGGTGGAAAGGGAAGGGCAGGAAAGTTCAGGCTGCAGAAGTCAGGGTGTCAAGTTATTGTGCATTGTACATTGATGAATGTCCAGGGTCCTGACAGTGGGAGATTGTTAGCCAGGGGCCTCTGGCAAGAGAGGAAAAGCCTAATGGACCAGAAAGGAATTCTTCCTCTCCTGTAGGTTGTCAGAGGTCTTGGGTAGAAGTGTTTCTGCAGCACAGTTTAGATAGTAAGGAACCTTTAGTGAGGCTCTCCAGGAAGAAGTGTTCTGGGCAGCAATCTTTGGAGAAGTGCTGTACAACAGAGCCGGTCCAGTGAGTGGTCCTCAGAGCCCGGCCAAAAGAATCTGGTGCAGCGCAACAGATCGTGGAGAACTGAGGAAGAACATAAAAGTGTGAAGTTGGAGGCTGAAGAGATAGTACTGCAGGTAGGGCACTGGCCTTGTGTGCAGCTGACCTGGGATCGATCCTGGCACCCCATATGGTCCCCAGAGTACACTAGAAGTGATCCCTGAGCACAGAGCCAGGCGTAAGCCCTTATCATGACCTGTTGTACCCTCAAAACAACAACAACAACAAAAAGTGAAGTTGCTTATTTTTTTTAAATTTCAATGCATGAAATGTTGAGGCTGAGAGAGTGTGTGTGTGTGTGTGTGTGTGTGTGTGTGTGTGTGTGTGTGTGTGTACATATCTTCTTTTTGGAGTGAGAGAAAAATTGTTGGGCATTGGAAAGGTTGGCTGGGCCAGATTTTGAACAGAATGGAATGGCATTATGAAGAAATGTATTTTTAGTAGTTTTTGGAGAGCCAAGGAAGGTTCTGCACAGTGGGAACTACTTTTTAAAGTTTGTGGTTTAGATATATGACACTGTCAATAAGAAAGACTGGATTAGAAGGAGGCCAGGATGAAGGCAGACAGGCTTTAGTTAATTATAAAACGAACTTAACCAGAAAAAGCTATTCTCATACGTTCCTGCCCACTGTGTTTATATTTGTATCATGGAATAGACGGGCACTATGCAGATGGTTCTGGCTTTGCCTTTAACTCTGTGTAACCTTGGGTCAATCATTATAATCTTGGAGACACTTGCCTTACTTGAAAATAGGATAATAAGGGTTGGAGTGGTAGGGCACTTGCCTTGCATGCAGCTAACCTGGGTTCAATTCCCAGCATCTCATGTGGTTCCCCCTCCAAGTATCACCAGGAGTGGTACCTGAGTGCAGCAGATACAGGAGTAAGCCCTGAGCACTGCTGGGTGTACTCCCCTACCCCACCCCCCACCCACTGCCCCATCCCAAGAGAAAAGAAAATGGGATATTAATCCCTACTCACACCGAATCTGAGGAATAAACTAATTCAAGTACATGGGATTTGGTTAGAGTTGGGATTCATCCAGACAAACTCTGGAAAGAAATGGGTGGATATTTGACTGTATTATCTGACTTTCCTGTTATGGGTGTGGTTTGTGTAAGTAGCATGCTTTTGATGCAATTAGGCAACTGATCATTTGAATTTTTTTTAACCCCTGCATTTTATTTTATTTTGGGGCCACAGTTGGCAGTGCTCAAAGGATCATATGTGGTGCTGGGGATCGAAGCTGGGTCGACCACATGCAAAGCTAGCTCCTTACCCATTGTACTATCTTTTAAGCACTAGACACTGCTTTTTCCGACACACCTGGGGCATTTAACTTATCCCATGTACCACTTGAGCTTTTCTTTCTGGAATACTTAAAACACTATGGCTTTTTCCTCTCCCTCTTCCTCCTCCTCTTCCTCTTCCTCCTCCTCTTTCTCTCTTCTCCTTCTTCCATCTTCCCTCCTGATTCTGCCCTCAGGGGTCATTTCTGGTGGGGCTTGGGGACTACATATGATGTTAAGGATTCAACATTGGTGGGCTGCATGCCAGGCAAACACCCTACTTCTGGTACTATTTCTTTGGCCTCCAAAACACTTATTTCCTAAGGACAGTGACTGGTAGACTCCCTGTTCTGTATGGCTTCCTGTTTCTTAATTTCTGTTATCTTAATATGAGCTACATGTAGTCAAATAAAAAATTGTAATTGTTAATTTTTTGTATTTTGGGTCATGCCCGCCTGTGCTCAGGGCTTACTTCTGGCTCTGCACTCGGGAATTACTCCTGGTGGTGCTGGATTGTGTGGGATGCCAGGGATTGAACCCAGGTGGGCCATGTCCTCGGTTACTATCACTCTAGCCCCCAAATTATAAATGTCTAAACCCATAAATGTTTAAGCCACAATCTATCTCCCTTTAAAAACAAGTGACCTACAAAAGCAGTTTCTCTCTCCCTCTTTTATTTATTTTCCCTCTCTTCCTCTTTTAAAAAGTTGTCCATACTTTTGTTTTAGAGAACATATACAGAGTGATACTTCAATAACATATATCAGAATAAATAAAATAATCCTTGGCTTCCAAGATCTGCTCTTGGCTCAGTGGGAGGAGGCAGGCATGTACATAGATAATCACAGTGTAATATGGGGAATGCAGCAGTAGGGCCATGCACAAGTGGTCATGGGAACAGCTGGAAGAAGTGCTTAGGTCATTGTTTTGAAGCCAGCATCACCAGACTTTTCCGCACTAATAAATACAAAGAGAGATTTGCTCGAGCGGGCCCAGTAACGTCTCCATTGGAGACTTTGTTGTTACTGTGTCTGGCATATCGAATACTCTCGGTAGCTTGCCGGGCTCTCCGAGAGGGGCGGAGGAATCGAACTCGGGTCGGCCATGTTGGCCGCTTGTAAGGCTAACGCCCTACCCGCTGTGCTATCGCTCCAAGCCGCCTGAAAATCCTCTGCTTTGAAAATCCAGAGCCTCACACTGACCTGGTGAAGTGTAGTTTTCTGAGCAGCCAAAGGTGCTGAAGGATTTAGCAACTGGCTCATCAACACAGATTCCAGATTCAGCTTCTGGGTTTGGCCCCTCCCCTTCCCACCACATCCATGTCCTAAACAGGCGGAGAAAGTACCCTTGTGGGAAACTATTGCGCCCTGTCACCCTCTCCCTCCAGTTTTTCCTCCTTAAGAGAACTAGTCTCCGACTCCTTTTTTCTGTCTAGCTTGCTTGCGGTGTCGTTGGTGCATTGAGCATTCCAGGGCTGTAGCTATAGTGAATATTGCTGATGTCATTGTTTGCCTTATTGGGATTTTGCTCTTTGTTTCACAGGGAGCTGTGATTGGTATAGACGATGAGGACGACAGCACCTTCACAATAACTGTTGATCAGAAAACCTTCCATTTCCAGGGTGAGCTGAAAGAAGAGATTCTTTCTCTTCATAGTCCCAACTGCTTCTTTCTTTCGGGGGTTGTTTGCTGGATGCCTTGCTGGTTTTGCAACTGATCCTCCATGAACGAGTGCACAGGAACGTTCTGGATGAAGTGGTACTGCAGGTTAGGCAGGGATTTGTATCTGCAGTGGCTACAGATCTATTTGCAGCGACTGGCTCTGTCTGCAATTGGAGATTAAAAATTTAAAGGCTAAAAATCAGTGAAGGGAGAGAGTAATGGGCTGCTGCTGCTGCTGGCTTGTGTTTACAGAAGGTTGCTGATCTTCTTTATCCAGGAGTATGGTTCTGCTTCTGCATGAAGAGTCTAAAGACTGATTGTGAAGGTTGCAGTGTTTGTCCGTGTAAAACTCTAAATGTAAATTAAATTGAAGCTAGTGGCAACCTTTGGCTTAAAGGTTTTCCTTTGCTTCAAGAACTGCAAGTTTGCACTCATTTCATCTGCTTTTCTGTGTTTTGTCTGCCAGCCGTCATTTCTCTGCTATTATCCTTTTTATAGTTAATAACGCCAATGCCATCTGCCACTGCTATGTTTCGGCATTGCATGCTATGGTTCACCAGTAGAAAGGGTAAGGTACTGTATGATCATTTTCATTTCATATTGCTTTGAAAACTCTGAACCAGCAAGCAAAAGCACATTTTAATGCTCGTTTTTGTAATGTGCCTCTCATCTCTTCATAGTGTCTATGAGCTTTTGTTACTGATGCTTTTGTTATTTTGCCTAATCAGAGTAATCTCTATCTTACCTTTAGAGCAGTGCAAATAACTTAGAAATGAGAAAATTTTGGAGATGTTAGCACTTTTTTCTGAACTTTAAATGGCAATGCATTGTGATAAATGCTCTATATAATATGATAAATAAGATAGATTTTAAGTATTTTGGTTTGGGGGTTTGGCATCAACCTGACAGACAGCTTTTGTCCTCTCTGCTAGAGTAGTAGGTTGCAATTCTTTTTCTTTATTATTTTATTTAAGATATTACACATAGAAACAAAAAGATGTCGCCTGTATACAATAAAACCAATCAATGTACTTCACAGCATGATCTCTCATATGAACAAGATCCTTGAAATGTTGACTGTCTTGATTCATGTTATTTCTATGGAGCAGCTTAACTAATGACGTGCCCCTAAAATTTTCCACTCTAGTTAACTGTATGGAATATTTTGAATCTTACTGTGGAAGCCCGGTGCCTTTATTTTCAGATTAAATGTATAATACTGCATATGGACTAATGCAGATATTACCCATATACTGGAACTCTTGAATGAAGTTGAAGTGATTGCTGTTGGGTGCGGGTGAAGGCTGCGGTATGGAACTCTCTTCTCTGCAGTTACTAAGGTGACGCTTCCTTTGGACTTAGAAGCTCGGTTGTTTGCTGTTTTTAAAGGAGAGGAGACTTAGACCTCTAGGGAAAAACCTCTGAGTTAAACAACTGATGTTAAACTGATCTCATTAATTCTCCGGTATTTATTTGGCTTGTTTGTACAACAAGTATTTCCTTTAGTGAATGACTAATTGGCAAAGATAAATAAGAATTATATGTATTTTAAAAATGGATGCTTAGTTCTGAAACTCAGCTTGATTGGTTTATTTCCTTTTATTAATAATTTAGGATATAGCTATGTGGAAAGATAGAGATATGCATATTTATATATTTTTCCATAGATAGATTTAGGCAAAAGTGAGCGTTATTTCACCTTTATAGGTCCTTGCTCATTAGAGATTCTCTGAAGGCCGGAGAGATAATATATGAGCTCAGGTGTTTGCCCTTGCATGTGACTGACCCCGATTCACTCCCTGGCACCTGAAGCACTGTAGGGAGCAACCCCTGAGCAAGAGCTGGGAATAGCCCCCAGCACTATTGGGTGTGGCCCAGACCCTCACCCCTGTCCCAGTCTCTGAAATTCTGATTTGAAAACTTCTCAAGATCTGATCTTATATTCTTTATTAGAATTGAAAGTATGCTTGACTGATAAGAATTAGCATATTTTTAAATATTTCAAAAGTTTTTACTTGTTTGCTTTTGGGCCACATCCAGCAATGGTCAGGGGTTACTCCTGGCTCTGTGCTCAGGAATCACTCCTGGTGGTGATTGGGGGACCATCGGGGGGCACTGGGGATCGAACCTGGGTCGGCTGCATGCAAAGCAAGCACTATACCTGCTATGCTATTTCTCCGGCCCCATAATGTACCAGGATTTTTGAAAGAAAATGAATTACCAACTAACGGATCTGTGGAACAGATTCTGTTCTTTCAGTTTTGCTTTAGTTTGTTTGGTTTTGGGGCCACACCTGGTTGTAGTCAGGGCTTACTTCTGACTCTGCATTCAGCAGTCACTCCTGGCGAGGAAAGGGGGCTGGTCTCTGCTGGGCTGCATGCAAGGCAATTGCCTTACCCATTATTGTATTATCTCTGTTCCCGCTCTCTGTCAACTAAAATTGTCAAGCTAAAATTTGTACAGATTTGTACTTATCCGCTTGACATACAGCTTAGACATTCTAAGTTTTGAGGCTACAGTAGTAAACTAAACTGAAAAACCTTTGTCCTTTGGGTCATTCATTCTGGCGAAAGCCAATAAATAAGATAATTAGTAAAATGCAATAAATAAGAGAATACTGAGTCCTAGGGAGAAAGAAAGAAAAGCAGGATATGCCATCGAAGTGAGGCTGTGTGTGCTGTGTGCAAGGATTGAAATTTGAGGGTGGCCAGGGGGAGACTCACTGAGATGGTGCTTTTGGTGAGAGGCCTGATGGGATTCTGCAGGCCCACGTGGGGCGGCTGTGGGAAGTGCTGAAGAGTGGCCAGCCACACGGAAGGGCAGCAAGGAGGCGGGCTCGGGTGCTCGCAGAGCACTGTGGGTGATGGTAATGGGTGAGGCGGTCTCAGAGAACATGCGGGCCTTCTCCATCCCACTGAAGACATTGAGCTGCACTGTCCTGAGAAGCAGAGGAGTGGCGTGATTATGTTTCAGCAGTGTCCCTCTGGCCACCCAGTGCTGGGGGGAGAGATAGAAGTGGGAAAACTGTTTGGAAACCCAGAAGAGGCTCCCATCTGGGGGTAGTGAGAAGTGGTTGAATTACCTTGTGTTTAATCGATTTATTGGAGTATGATTGATGCAGTAAGATGTACGCATCATAATGTTCAGTGTGTTTTGTCAAATTTGTTTTTCTCATTTAACTGCCACTGCAGTCACGGTATAGACATTTCTGTCATTCCAAAGATTCCTTTATTCTTTCAGTCAGTTCCTACTTCTCTTCCCTGACCAGGTAACTGTTGAACTCATTGCTCTCACACAAAGATTTGTTTTTACCTTTGAAGAGTATCACCTAAATGGCACCATACAGTATGTTGTCTCTTTTGTCTGGCTTTGTTTTAGCTCAGCACCAATGGTGTGTGCATTGGTGAGTTTAGCTCCTTTTTATATTGCTAGGTGGTTTTCTGTTGTATGATAGCTAGGCAGATCTTTAGCATCTGAATGAAAAAGAGGGCTCTGTGTTGACACAGTTTTGAGTTGAGCAGTGATAAATAAAGTTGCCATTGACTGAGGTGAAGAAGATGATGTGAGGCTTGTGTGTGTGCGTCCACGTTTATGGGGGAGATTGAACAGGAGGGGTGACCTCAGCAGTTTAACCTTGGACGTGTAATAAACAAATTATAGATGTCTATAAAACTTGGAAGTGGAGAAAGCAAGTAGACACTTGAAATGTAGAGTTCAGGAGTATAGTTAAGACTGAAGATATTGGGGCTGGAGCGATAGCTCAGCAGGTAGGGCATTTGCCTTGCACACGGCCAACCCAGGTTCGATTCCCAGCATCCCATATGGTCCTCTGAGCCAGGGGTAATTCCTGAGTGCAGAGCCAGGAGTAACCCCTGTGCATTGCCGGGTGTGACCCAAAAAGCAAAAAAAAAAAAAAAAAAAAAAGACTGAAGATATCCATTTGGGAGTAATTGACATGTAGATGATATTTAATGTGTTGTGAATGTGGGAGTCTGTATAGAGGGAGAAGAGAACCATTCCAGGCTATGATCTCTGGTGCACTCAGCATTTTCTTAGAAAGCACAGACAGGAGACTGAACTGGCAGTAGAGGTTGAAGAGGATAAAAGCCATGTGATGCTGTACCCTAGAAGCTAAGGACATTGTTTCTAGGAAGAGACATTGTTGTGTCAGATGCTGTTAGAGCAAATAGTTGAGGGCTGAGAAATGATCACAGGAGTTAACAACTAAGAGGTCATTGATTGCTCTTCAAGGTTGAGGAGAGCAATTTTAAGGTAGGAATTTAGCACTTTCAACCTCTGCTATAAATAGACGGTCAGAAATATAGCAGTACCTGGAGTTGATAAGAACAAGGGAGTTTTTGTTTTGTTTTAAGATCGGAGAAATAATAACACATCCTTAACATGTTTAACATGTGTTAAAGAATAACACATCTTTAATAGTTGGCAGTGATTGAATAAAAGACATGCAGGAGAGTAAGGGGGAAGAGTTGTTTGATCTGTGTCCTTAAGAAAACCAGAGGCTGAAACCTAAGACCTAGGGGAATGGGTTGTTGCAGATGTTCACAACCCGACTTGGCCCGCCACACTCTTTCCAGAAAACAAAATCACTTAGTGCCCCCTTGAACACCTGACTCTCCCCACAGTTACATCAAAGGCTGCTGGATCGGGAGGAGGTCACATTCTTCAGTGTCCCTTAAGGGAAATTCCTTTTCCCCCTTTGAGAAACACTGATCTGTGGTAACAGGAAAGCCACGTGTATGGAAGTAGTCTGTGTAGGTGGGTTATCGATCCCTTTTGTTCCCACCGTGGTTTCTAGCTCAAGCCTGTCCTACACGCCCTACATACTTACATACATACATACAAAGAAGTATTATTTTTTACCAAAGAGGATTGGTATGAAGAAGAAAGCACTTTATGACTAAGTAGATTTTTGGTGGTTCTTTTTCCTTTCAGGCGACAC